TCAACAGCTTTACATCTTTAAAAATCAGGAAATAGAGCTCTAATAGCTTCTAAAAATGACATTCATAATATTAAGTTAACCTCAGTTTTCCTATTTAATACTGCATGATACAGCATAAAGACAGAACCGTGGTGAATAGACGTATTATGACAGCTGATAAGCTTCCTTTTCTTCTCCTTTACCTCTCGCTCTGCTCAGTTTTCTGTGTCTTGGTTTGTGACTAGTTCCATTGTTTGTGTTTTAATCTCTCTGTGGGACTTTCCTCAATGCCTGGAACACTTGTTTTGCTCAGTTGGTGACAATTTGATCTCGGTTTATTTGTGATATTTGCACCCATTTCTCCTCCTCTTTTTTGTTTTTTTATCCCATCTTAGTCTTCACTGTCATTCTTATCATTATTTAATATTTATTAAATATCTCAATGTTGAACATACAGTGCATTCAGACCTGTATAAAATAACACCGATGCTTATATAATGTTGGGTGTGTGCACAAGTGTGCACATGAAAATCTTGTGTGCAAGTAATAAAAGCTATGCATAATCATGGAGGCACACACAGAAACATACAGGGCAGACACCTTTCATTGTGCAAGTATTTGTTATTCATCCCTGTGTTTCAGGAAGTAAACTGTACATCTATTGGTTTTTATGATTTAACATTCTTTGGTACAAATGGAACAATTCACTGGTTAAAAAAAAATAATAATTTAGTCTCTTGGTATTGTCATTAGCTGTAGGAGTGACTGCAGGCACAATGATATGAAATGCTTTCCGGTCCAGCTCCATTCCCAGGACCATTTGTGGATTGGACCATTGTGATCCATGGGGTTTTCATTGGCTGGTTTTCTGAAGTAGACCACCAGACCTTTCCTGCTTATCTTTCTTAGTGTAGAAACTCTGATGAATCCTGAACAGCTACATAGCAACCAGGCTTCAAACTGATTCAGTCTGGTTCAACCCCCTGCTGAGAATTTGCCTTTCCACTCCAGATGCACTGAGCTGGAATCTACACTTTAACAAGATCCCAGGTGATTCTTACACATAAGATTCATATACATAAAAATCACATAAGAACCATATATGTAACAATCACCTGGAGACCTTGTTGAACTATAGATTCTGACTCAGTGTATCTGGGATGGAAATGCAAATTCTCAGTTGGGGGTTGAACCTAAATGAGCTGGTTCCAAGCCCTGATAGCAACACACAGCCTCCACTGACAGACAGGTGATGGCTGAGCATGAGGTACATTGGTCAGGAAGCAAAACTGGACCTTCAGTTAGATGCAAATAATGCTCTTTGGTGCATATTCTGTAGACCCAATCACATGCCTTCAGAATCCCATGATTGAATGATTGATTTATTGCAGTTTTAACAGAAATCATGTTACTTTTCTGAAACAATAAATTAATTCTATGATTACATTATGAATGAACAATCTATACTCAAACTCCCCAATTCAACAAATTCTGACGTTTTAAGAGCAAACATTAAAAAAATAATAAATTTAAAAATGACCCTTTGTTCCTTTTTATTAATTTTTTTTAATTATTGTGATTTGGGTGAAGATTTACAGAGTAAATTCACTTTCCATACAGCAGTTTACATATACTTTGTCTCATGACATTGACCACAGTTTACCACAATGCAACAGCTCCCCTCCCACTTCCTCCCCATAGTTATCTCT